AATTCATCGGAAACAATTCCAGATAATAATGCGTCGACATAAAATTTTATTCCAAAAAGTCAACAAAAGTCAACGCAGGGCCCGCTCCTCGGAACCCGATAAAATTTTCATGAAATCCGAACACCCATTCCGATACGAGTTCAACCATACCAATTTTATCGAATTCCAATAACAATTCGACCTCCAAATCTTAATTTTTCGTTTTCAAATTCCTAAGTTCAAACCCCCGATTTACACCTTAAAAACATATAATCTAATCGGATTATTCAATGATAATTCAATATTATGGAGTAGAAATGATCACAAGGGACTTACCTCAAGTTTTCCCGTGAAAACCTTGCTCAAAAATCGCCCAACCCGAGCTTGAAATGCCCAAAAATGGCAAAAGCTCGGAACCCCTCTGTTTTTGTATTGCCCGGGGGTTTTCGCATCCGCGGCAAATTTTTCGCACCCGCGGTGCCTGGCCAGTCCATGAATTTTCCGCTTCCGCGACTCATTTCTCGCATCCGCGAGCTCGCACCTACGTCCCTTTTTCGCGCAGGTGCGATCACACCAGCAGCCCAGCTGCTTCAGCTCTTCCAAATCCAAATTCGATCCGTTAAGCATCCGAAACTCCCCCGAGGCCCTCGGGACCCCGTCCGAACATACCAACAAGTTCCATAACATAACACGGACCTACTCGAGGCCTCAAATCATATCAAACAAAATCAAAACGACGAATCGCACCTCAAATCAAAATCTATGAACTTTGAACTTTCAAATTCTATATCTTGTGCCGAAACATATCAAATCAATCCGGAATGACTTCAAATTTTGCACACAAGTCATAAATGACATAACGAAGCTATTCAAATTTTCAGAATAATATTTCGACCCCGATATCAAAAAGTCAACCCCCGGTCAAACTTCCAAAAAATTCAACTTTCGGCATTTCAAGCTTAATTCCACTACAAACCTCCAAATAATTTTCCCGACACGCTCCTAAGTCCAAAATCACCATACGGAGCTATTGACATCATCAAAATTTCATTCTGGAGTCGTTTTCTCAAAAGTCAACTCTCCGGTCACCTCTTTCCATTTAAGCTTCAAATTAAGGATTGTTCGTTTAATTAAATTCCGAATCTTTAGTAAATCAAACTCGACCACACCCACAAGTCATAATACATATTGCGAAACTGCCCGAGACCTTAAGTCATTGAACGGGGCGTAAATTCTTAAAACGACAAGTCGGGTCGTTACAACTTCTTTTATATTCATGATGTATTTTGTTGTCCATTCTGTAGTTGCCACTTCTAATCAACAAAGAACTTTTGTCAGAGGAGATTTCTAAAATCCGAGGAGTTGTTGAGGTATGCTTAGTCTTGAGCAAATATACTTATTCTACTTTCCAGAAAAAAAGAACAATCTCTAAGTCTATAATGTGAGTATAATGGTGTAGATTGGTTAAGATAGGAAATCTATGAACATGTTTTCCACCTCTAGTTCGCAATACTGTGTACTGTTAGCCTATGTGTTAATGCTCATTGTGTCTAAAAGAGTGTGTATTTTATATTCGTACACTTAAATCCCCCCACTGTAACGAGCCAAATTTGGTAATGCTTTTCATATTTTCCACTTACAGCAAAACTCAAGCAGCTGCAATCACTTGGACATGCTCCTGAATTGGATCCAGGTATTATTATCAATTAATGAACTCTGTGACTACGGTAGTAATGTTTTCCTTAAATCAGCCCTGTGGTGATCCGAGTATTATTCTCGCTGGATTTTGCGATGATCCATTGCCATTCTTTCATTGTTGTCACCTAGTACGCTTCACACTGATTATATCACATATGGTTAAGTGATGCTTAGAAGTTTGATTGACTAGTTGATGTAGATGACTAAAAGAAATAACTCTTACGGGGTGTGATTCTATACAGGCATTTTGACTACGCTACTCTCTTGGATTGTCCTTTAGTCTCCTTTCTGGAAAACATAGCTCTTTAACTGTGATGCAAAAGGAAACGTACAGGATTTAACATGGTGAATATGCCTGGTTAATAAGAAACTAGAAAACTCCTGTTATTTGGCTCTTATATAGATAACATATCCCAGTATTTCCGAAGGATGTAGTAACACTCATGCTCAGTTTCAAATAATCCTAGCTGCAGAATATGTAGCTTCCACTACGGACCACCCTAATCCTCATTAAGTAGTAGACTCGTTAGAAGATTATTGCTGCCTGTATCATTATGATTTGGATTTATCATATGAACATGATTACCTGACTGTTTCAGGCAATTTGTGAAAGTTATGACCTTAAGGTCGAAAATTTTTCATCGTTGGTTGATGGAAAAGCTATGTGGTGCTTGCTTGATTATTATTTCCGCAAGGACAATCGCTGTTCCTGCTCTTATCAGGTGCTTGAATTTTATCCATTAATCTATCATTGTTTAGCATTCTACTAAGACAATTTGCAGCTCAATACCGTTTTGTGATGATAGTACAGGCACTAGGTGAAACAAAAGAAGAAGTTTCCATAGTATCTGTAATTGATTACACAGATGCAGTGCACAATTTTATTCTATCTCAAAAGCTGCCATTGCTATTGGGGAGGTTTCCAGAGGTGAAAACATATTTTACTTAGTGTCTGTAAAAATTGAGCAATTCATAATATTCTTTTATCGCCCTGGTAAAATAATTGGTTTAGGAGCAAAATAATTCTGAGTGTTCCAAAGAAATGCTGCTCCAACTGTTGTTTCCCAACGATGAAGTTGTCCCCTGCAAATAAGAGTACTGATACAAGTACTTAAAATTGTTACAGAAAAAGAATATGCCAGACCTCTTAATTTTCCAATAAGTGCTTTCAACATTCAAACTTTTTACATGGCTTCTGCACTCACATATTAATCTGAATGAAATACCTTTTAGTATCAGAGGGACCTTCTATCAAATTAGTATACATTCTTCTTTTCCTGAAAACTTATACGTTAAGAAAGATCTCTATGATAACCGAACAGTAACTCCGGCTCAAACTTTTGTAATATTATCCGGGATATTTCAAGTAGCAGTGTATTGCAATAAGCCAATAAGCATTTGCTTGTAGAGTTCCATGTATTGCAGGCATTTGCTCCTAAGAGATTGAGGCAAACAAGGATTTCCTACTGCTACACACCCCACAGAATATTCTTCTTAGGAGAGCAAAACGTATGAAAAGCAACCAATAGCTGTAATCTACCTATGGAGTTATGATATGGATAATGAATGTTTGTCGGGTAGTTTCTTTCTTAGTCTTTTCTTGCTAGAAGTGCATGCCTCCTTATTAGTCAATACTCCTAGTGATTGGATAAGATACCGTGTATAGTTCCTCTGCGCCTTTATCCTTTTTATGTTCTCTAGTCTTCCTCTGCAACTTTTTGTTGAACTGAGAAATAGAGAACAATTTGTAGAAATGAACCATGTTCTGACCTTAACCAAAGTGTTTGGGATTCAAAAGTGGAAGAAACCATTTGGTCTGTTACAATCGGACACTTATTGCTTTTCACCCATATACGTTACCTTTTGGAGGTCGCAACCATTTATATAATTCTATGAATTTGGTGTTGTTGGTCAGTTAACATGCTACCTTTGTTCTCAAACTCCCCCAGTCCCAATTCCATGTCCATCGTACCTTTTTGGTCTGTCCCTTCATGGAAAGTTAAGTTTTACCACTTAATGTGTAACTCAGGATATTTCATTAGACGAAAATGATCTTTCATAGTAATTTTATTTTAGTGGCTCCATTAAATAAAACCATGCCGAGCTAAACAACCAACATCCACTTTGGGATGGCAGGAATAATTTAATTAATACTTGTGGGCCGAAAATTGTATGATTGAAAGTTAGATATAATATTTTTGCAGGTACTACAAGTCAGTGATATACTGGAAACAAACGGTGCATGCAATGGTCAGAGTGTCATTATTCTCTTGGTGTTTCTCTCATTTCAACTACTAGTTAGAAGAAACAAGGTATTATTCATTATAGATTATATGCAAATCACTAGTGTTAGTCTTAATTTGGGAAAGAAATGACCATTGTCTTTTAACAGGATCAATTGAATTTCCACAAGTTATTGGGATTTAATTGTCAAAGTCCTGAAAGAAAACGGCTAAGCGCGGACCAGTGGTTTATGCATCTAGAAGCAGCTGTAGACCCAGAACAAAATGATGACAAAGGTGTCTGATGGTTCTTTTGAGGGATTCTAGTTTTAGAAATTTTATTGTTTATTTTATTTCATTTGTTTGGCCAACGGAAGACTTGAAACATTTATCAGCTGTTTATATGAACTACAGGAAGTAAAAGTTTTGGGTAACACCATGCCTCAGAAAATTTTCCATAAAACCAAATGGTAGTGAACCCTGTAGGCGCTGTTTATATAAACTACAGCGAACATAATTTTGACTGTGACACCATGCAGCAGAAAGTGTTGCGTGAAAATATGAAGTTGTCAATACTACAGATTTTCATTAAAGTTGGTTAGAATAACTTATTTCAAGTTTTAATTTTCTTTTCCAATGAATGCAAATTTTATGAAAAATGTTCCCACTTCTTTACGGAAATAATTTCAGTAGAGGTAATCTTTCTCTGCATAAAGGCTTCTGTCCTTTGTAATAGTCCCATATCCATGTCATCGACAGCCTTTCGTACTAATATAATTTCATGGTCTTTATGACCTTTTTGATAACACAGATGCTGCCAGAAATTTTAAGGCTGTAATGGCTTGGTGGCAAGAGATGGCTCAACAAAATAACAAATGCACTTCTAAGGAAACTTCTAGCAGTCCAAAGTGGTCTTTTACTAGTAAAAGGAGCAATGATACTCAAAAAGGTAATCATCCATGACAATTATGTACTTGGTGTGTAAATATTTTGCTGTAACCAGTATCAGGAACATGTCAATATTCTCTCCGATAGCTTTTCTTCTTGTATATAATTCAATGTGGGTGTCACCCCTACTATCTCCATTCTGTGCTTTGTCATCTGAGGATGAAAATCTGAAATTATGCTTCAGGTATAGTTTTACCAGGCCTCAAGCCAGCTGAAAGATGTTTGTCTCATTGTTTCAGAAAATGCAGCCAAAGTAATACAGTCTCATTTCAGACAGTCAGTGCAGCGTCGCAAATATTTGAGGATTAGGAATGCAGTCTGTATCTTGCAAGCTGCAATACAAGCATGGCTGAGGGTAAAGAAGGAACCATCAATTCAGTTCTTTGGTTCACAGACATATCTGGCATCACTATGCGGTATATGCTTACTTTTTTTTCTTCCCTTTTGCTCCATTACTAGATAGAACTTTTATCATTTAATGTATTGCTACAAATGAACAGGTGCTAGGAATTGTTCAGAAAATTTGGAAAATCACTCTGCCTTTGTGGTTGATAGACATGCCTTTCTTAAGTTGAGAAAATCTGTAAGAATCATCCAGCGTGCCACTAGAGACTGGATTTCCCGGAGACATGTGACTGGAGATGCATCACCGCAAGATTTGTCCACTCCAACTCTCAATGATGCTGCCATTGTCATACAAAAGTGTATTCGTGGGTGGATAGTAAGGTCTTCTCTTGTAAACACAGACCAATCTCCCACAGTTTCTAAGGAACGTGAAGAGAATATGTATCATATAAATGCAGCGGTAACTATCCAACATGCTTCAAAGGAATATACATTAAGCAGCCCTATACACAGTCAACACTTTGCAGCAACTAAAATTCAAAGTCACTATCGTGGATGGTTGATGAGGAAAATTTTTGTGGATCAGAAGCAAGCAGCAACAAAAATACAGAGCATTTTCCGATCTGCAAGATGTTTGAAGGATTTTCATTGCTATAAACGGGAAGCTCTTTCAACGATTACAATCCAGGCTTATGTCCGCAAACGGATTGCTCAAAGAGAAGTTTATAGGCGTAAATCTCAAATTATTATGATTCAGGTAATTTTGTCTTCAAATATTAAATATTTGAGCGTATATTGCTTCATTTTGATTTACTTCTGAGATACACTCGATATTAACCTGCCATATATTGTACTTAACTACACCTGTTATTTGGTGCCTCGGGCTTATTAAGTAACTCATTGAAAGTACATCCTCATAAGGTCAATATCTAGTCAAAGGACTTAGATTGTGTAGCTTCTTTTTTTCATGCATTTGCGTTATGTTTTTCTGTTAGTTGTATCCTGCAACCTTCCAGAGGTCATCAGTCACATAAGGTACAGGGTTCCATAATGTTTATGTCAATATGTGACACAAGTCAAACCGCAGAATTTAGGTCACTTCCTTTCACGAGCAGACTGTACCTTGAATCATTAGCCTACGGGATAGGCTTATATTTTTTTCAGGCTTAAACAGCGTGTTTGCACCAGTTAGCATGAGGAGAAATGTAGATAGATGAACCAGAGGCATTACAAGTTTATCTAACAAGATGCGGGAAGCAAGGCTTAGATGGTTTGGGCACATGCGGAGGAGAAGCCAAGATGTCCCGGTTAGGAGGTGTGAGTGGTTAGCTTTGACGGGTATGAGAAGAGGTAGAGGGCGGTCTAAGAAGTATTGAGGTGAGGTGATCAAGCAGGACACGATGCGACTTCAGATTTCCGAGGACATGGCTCTAGATAGTGTGAGAAGGCACGGGAAAAAATATGTTATTGATATTGAATGAACAATACAATACAAGAGTTCCTTATTTATAGCTATACTATACAAGGACATACTACTCCTCTACCAATGTGGGACAATACTACACTATATACATGCTGTAAACTAACACTCCCCCTCAAGCTGGTGCATACAAATCATATGTACCGAGCTTGTTACATATATAACCAATACGAGGACCAGTGAGAGACTTGGTGAAAATATCTGCAAGTTGATCATTCGACCTCACAAACTTTGTAGCAATCTCTCCTGAAAGTATCTTTTCTCTGACGAAGTGACAATCAATCTCAATGTGTTTAGTTCTCTCATGGAACACCGGATTTGATGCAATATGAAGGGCAGCTTGATTATCGCACACAAGTTCCATCCGANATCCATCCGACTGATTTCACCAAATTTCAACTCTTTGAGCAATTGTTTGGTCCAGACTAGCTCACATGTTGCCATAGCCATTGCTCCATATTCTGCTTCTGCACTAGACCGAGCAACTACATTCTGTTTCTTGCTCTTCCAGGACACCAAATTTCCTCCTACTAAAACACAATATCCAGACGTAGAACGTCTATCGGAAGGTGATCCTGCCCAGTCAACATCTGAGTATCCAATGATCTGCTCATGACCTCGATCCTCAAAGAGTAACCCTTTGCCTGGAGCCGATTTTATATATCGAATAATGCAGACAACTGCTTCCCAATGACTATCACAGGGAGAATTCATAAACTGACTTACAACACTCACAGGATAAGAAATTTCGGGTCTAGTCACTGTGAGATAATTTAATTTTCCAACCAGCCGCTTATAGCTTGCAGGATCG